AAGGGCTCTGCAAACATGGCCAATAACTTTCATTCTGATGATCTGCAGAATAATTTGGCCACAAAACAAATTTCACTGTTCAAAAAGTTGCAGACTTCACTATATACAGTGCAGACAGTGTGGACCCTCTAAACTAAGTCTTTAGGATATGATCTTTGAATGAATGCAGACCAAACTGTCGTTGTATTTACTTACACAGCATGTCTTGTAGGATTAACTGGAGTCATCAGCAACAGCACAGAGCAGTCACATCTCAGGTCTAATAATAGAAGACAGGAAACTAAAGCACAAAGGAAGCAGCAAGTAAAGCAGTTTGATGTAAAGTATGATTAAAGTTCAGCCTGATTAACATAAATGTGACAGCTACTAACATATTGTGGGAAGTAAACTGTAACCAAAATCCTTCCCACTCAGCTGATGTCTTTCTGTCCAACAGCTCCTTTTCTAGACTTGTAAGAGTTTGATGTGATGTGTGGAGTGCTGATTCAGAGCCTCAAAGAAATAGGTGGTCTCTTTTTAAAACACATCATTTAAATGTCATCATTACATAGGGTGAGACGTTCGGCCATACGGGAGGGGCTCAGAGTAGAGCCAGGAGCAGACCCAGGACACGCTGGAGAGATTACATCTCTCAGCTGGCTGGCTTGGGAATGCCTTGGTGTTCCTCCGGACAAGCTAGAGGAGGTGGCTGAGGAGAGGGAGGCCTGGGCTTCTCTGCCTAGGCTGCTTTCCCCATGACCCAGCCCTGGATAACCAGAAGAAGATGGATGGATGGATAAAACAGAAATGTTCATTAAATGTAAAAACAGTTTGCTTATGTCGCTAAAGAAAGACTAGATTTAACATTAATAGATGTCACAGATGTCCAAAAACAACCATAAAAATTAAAATAAATACAGAGGTTAAGAATGTACAGTCCATGTTATAAAAGTGGATTAAAACAAGCCCCACCCCTAACGGCTGCATCTTCTGAAAAAGTTTCGTCCGGGCTCTTATTGAGCAGCTGCTCACTCTTCTAATTCAAACAATCAACAGAAAATTTCACTGAGAGATTTTATATAAGGTTTTTTAAGCTGTGGGTTAATTTAAGCACCATGAGCCGAGAGGCAACACCAGTCTAACACTAGCTAGCTAGCAAGTTTATAAACCTGGTGCTAATCTGAGAGAAGGCACAAAACCAGTTTGAATAAGAGTAACACTTTACTCACCAAGTCAGTGAATCACATAAAGAATCACAGCAATGCCAACAATGATCTCTTAAGCTGAAGCTTCTCCAGCTTTGCTCAACATATCCTCTGGGTGCTTAAGGGTGCTCCATCTAGTGACGCTATTACTGGGAGACTTAAACACTCATGTGTGCAACAACAGTGAGAGCTGGAGGGGTGTGACTGAGGGACCTCTGTGCAAACCACAGTTTGTCCATAATGAACTATAAATGATATATCTAATATTTCCAAACTGTTAAAATGTGTTCTGTTTGCTGATGATACCACTCTGTATTGCTCAGGTAATAACCTGGAACAGCTTCTGACTAGAGTGGAAAAGAACAGTGGAGAATATACTAAAAAATGGTTTCATATAAATAAGTTATTGTTAAATATAAATGAAATAATATGTATTATTTTTGGCACCAGACAAATGAAAAATGTATCTAAAATCAGGGTTAATGGAATTGAAATTGAAAACGTGTACGAAAAAACATTTCTAGAGAGATAATTGATAAGCTTTGTTGGAAGTCCCATATAAACCATGTGTGTCACGGTCTGGGTGGCAGACCGTGGGGGATGTTGGACCCAAACGCTGGACTTAGTGCAATGAACAGTGCATTTATTTACAGTGGGGGAAAATGTACACCATGCAATAAGTCTCCAGAGTGCTCCCTCAACTCCTGTGTTGTGTCTTGTCCCAAGTGCTGGTATTCCGTGCTCTCTGCTCCTGTGCCTACGCACACCCCGTGCATCCTGCAGTCCCGTGTTCCGCTTTCCTGAGGAAAAACGACAGACGCAGCTGTTATGGCACCAACTCCAGCAGGCATACACTGAACAGCACTATAAACACTGACATGGAGTCTAACTCAACGATCCTGCACCGGAGGAAGCTCCCTCGCTCTGTTAAGTAGCTCCCCCGACGAGCCTGATCAGAAGCAGGTGTGTGGGAACCTAGGCGTGACCAGCAGCTGGCAGGGCCACACCCATCAGGCCTGCAGGTGGCTGTCCTTCATCCTCCAGCCACACACACACGTACACACACCAGCATGGAACACAAGAGCACAGTGCAGCAAACATACCTCCAATACAACAATAATAATAACAATAACAATAACAATAATGGTCCACACTCTTCACGGACCCCGAGTCCCTGGAACCGGATCCGTGACAATGTGAAAACAAAAAGTTAAAAACCGTTGCTATTCTGTACGAAACAAAAGATGTCCTGAGCAAGAATTCATTATAGACGCTTTATTGTTCTCTTTTGCTTCTGCTAATAGCTTTTTGACTAGCCTTATCTCCTGCTTTCTTGCTTTGTGGTAGATCTTTATTCTGTATTCACTGAGAGATTTAAATGTTAATCAAATAAATAAATTAGATAAGTGCACGTGGCTCCAAGATACTGTGGGCCACAGGTCAATGATCAATTTTGTAGTCGTATCATCAGATCTGCAGCCTAATGTACTGGACATGGTTGAATAGAGGGGCTGAGCTGTCAACTGATAAACACCTGGTGCTGAGTTGGATCAGGTGGCACATCTAAACATAGTGAGGGTGCTCTTGGAATGGATGGTCCGTGAGATCTTCTACTTCAGTAGAGCTTCAACAGCATTCTGAGGGAGACCGGGGCCCTAATTTCCTTCAGGATTACAGTTTTTTCTGATTGCTTAAGCACATTTTTTGTAACTATTGGCTAATTTTGCAAAACTCTTCACACAAATAAGAAAACCTGTCACCCAATAATCAAAACATTGTAGTTCTCTTGCAAAAGCAAACACAGCTAGATTAACTCTTCACACCTTTGTAAAAATGGTGTTTCCGTATCAAACAGTACACACAAGCCATCATCTACTAAGCACACAATGCGCCAACTGCACACTGATGGTATGAATACAAAACACATCTGGCTTTTGCTTTCTCTGTGCACAAGGTAGGCTATGTCAGTTTGAGCTCATACTTCTGTCATAGATCCATAAGCATAGAGGGATCCAAACTTCAAGTACTGGTGTTTATTCAAACACATCAAAACAAACACAAGTGTTTATTTTCAAGTATAGGATTATTTGCAATCGCCATAATGACTATATGGGTTACTTGGTCTGCAGTGAACATGCTTCCTCTGCCCCGAGCATCTGGTCATCTAGCAATTCTGTAAAGTAACAATTTCAGTATTTTTACATCAATGGTATTGGTGTGTTTCTCATTGGCATATGGCAGTGCTACAAATCTTAGTGCGGAGTGACTGTACTCACCGATTCTCATTTCAAGATGTCCCTATGATGCTTGCTACAGTGTAGCGGCTCGAGTTAGGCTGGACCCGTTGGCCAGCTTCCCTCAGGGTCATTCCACGGTTGATGACATGGTCCACTATTGTAGCTCTGATGTCATCAGCAATTCTATTTCTTACTCTTCCTACCCTTCCTCTCCCCCCTCCTCGTCTTCCTCTCCCCCCTCCTCATCTCCCTCTCCTCCTTATCCTTGTCGTCCTCTTCATCCTACTTCTTCCTCTCCTCCCTCCTCGTCTTCCTCTTGCTCCTCCTTGTCCTTGTCGTCCTCTTCATCCTACTTCTTCACCTCCACGTCCTCTTCCTCGGCCTCCTCTACTTCTCACTCTTTCTGCTCCCTCCATTGTACTCCGCACACACAGCTTACCTGTATTATAGTGCTTAGGCTGATTGCAAAGTGAACGAATTATCTAAGGAAGTTTTCACATGTGAAAGTGTGCCAGACAGTTGGCAAATTAGTGTTAATGATAGCCATACATGTGTATACTTTTGCTAGGAGTGTGTTGGAAATTTGGTAATTGAGTGTTGTGCAGTGAATTGTGTCTAAAGTTTTGCAAAGTGTGTGTTACAAAATTGCAAAGTGAGTGCAAAGCAGTTTTTGTGCTTTTAGTTTTGCAAACTCAGTGAGTGGTTTTGCTATATGTCTGAATAGTTTTAGAGATCGTGCTACAGGAATCACAGTTAGGGTTTAAGCATTCAGAAAAAACTGTAATAAAGTATTCTGATTCTGAGTTTGAATGGACCATGTACAGCACCTCCATTGCTGAAGCTGTTTCGCTGAGCCCCGGCCACAAGGTCATTGATGGCTTTCGTTTTGGTAACCTCCAAATCAAATGGTGGACACTGGAGTACTCCTCCGGCTTGGTACTGAAAAAGGAGTCCTGTCGGTTTTTGTTAACCTGTGAAACTTCAGAGGCAGCTGATAGGTACCGACAGGCCAAGTGGTTCAGGCAGTTAAGACAGTTAACCTTGTCAGGTAATGATGGTAGTGATTCTCATTAAAGCTTCCTGGTTTGATCAGAAAATAAAACATTGGTCCAAACACCTGAAAGTCCTGAAAACGCGTTGTGAATTCTGTCTCGAGTCTACGGATGTATCCGTGTATTTCCGCGGTGCTGATGCTGTGCTGAGCATTTGAAGTGTTGAAATGTGAAAAGATAACAATGTCCCTCTCGCTGGTAGGTGGCTGATATATTTTTTGGGGGTTGTTATCTAAGATGTCGTCATTATGAAGCGGCACAACTAAAGAGTCTACGCAAGCTAATTTGCGATGTGCACCGCTGGCGCGGCCATTTATTTTTCAATGCACCTTCTCAGATTAATTCACTGCATCAAAATCGTCCCGGACATTTTGACTAGAGCCACCATTATAGGAAAAATCATAAAGCCTTTGAATGAAAACAAACACTGCTGTGACAGTGATGTTCACTGTTCTGATGGTATATATGCATTAATCTATCAATTGTTTGTTGTAAGATTCAGATAATTATTTATTAAAAGCGAGACATTTTAAATGAGAAGAAGAAAGTATTTCTTTGTGCCCCCCTCTCCCCGTTAATGCCCTACCTGCCCCCTGGCAAAAATTTCCTAGATCCACCCCTGCACAGTTACCAGCTGTCAGCTGCTTAGAAAAGCATCCTGGTGTTATTTGTCTCTCAGAAACAGCTCATAACTTCAACTCATTCATGTCACCTAAAAGGTAAACCTGTTTCTCCATCACAGCTCTGATGATTCAGTAAGGACATCTCCTGGTTTCATCTTCATGTTTGCCTCTCACCAGATAACCAAACCGACATCATGACCAGCAGCTTTTACAGCTGTGGCTCCAGCAAACATCAGCTGATACTAGAAGTTAATATTAAATAAATTCTAACAACAGCTGATCAAGCTTAAACGTGCTGCTGTTGTTTAGCGCGACATCCGCTGGTTTCCTCTTTCTGGCGCAAAGTGGGCGATAAATAAACAAGAGAGAAAAGCCGATCAGCTGATCATTGATCAGTTTCATGATTGTGTGTGTGTGTGTGTGTGTGTGTGTGTGTGTGTGGATAATAGCAAACACTGAAATACAGTTTTTGCACGCAGGAATGAATTTTGTTCACTCAAATTTAGCTTTTCTTTGCTCAAAATA